ATGTCTGAAAGGGTCTTCCCAACCTCTTCTTTTAGAATTCTTAAGGTTTCATGCCTTAGGTTTAAGTCTGTTATTCATCTTGAATTGATTTTTGTGAGAGGTGAGAGGTGGGGATCTAGTTTCATTCTTCTGCATGTAGCTATTCAGTTTTCCCAGCACCATTTATTGAAAAGAGATTCTTTTCCCCAGTGTGTATTTTTGTCAGCTTTGTCAAAGATTAGATTACCACATGTGGATGGCTTCATCTCTGGATTCTCGGTTCTGTTCCAGAGGTCAATGTCTCTGTTCTTGTGCCAGTACCAGGCTGTTTTAGTTACTATAGCCTGGTAGTACAGCTTGAAGTCTGATAGACTGATACCTCCCAGTTTGTTCTTTTTACTTAAGATTGCTTTCCCCATAGGACTAGCCTGAATCAAGGGACATCTTTCAAGCCAGAAAACCAAATGATGGTCTCCCCAGCATGCAAGCATCTCTAATCTTTGGAGTCATTTCTCAGAGCTCTCCTCCCTCAGAGTTGGGGAGCAGGAAGCCCTCTTTCCTCTCCCAGTGGGGTATGACAAGAGGGCCTAGCCTTTCTTCACAACCACTGCTCTTTCATGTCTCAGTCCTCTCAACATATTGACCTGAAGATGGGAGAGGGCATTGCTTTTGCCCGGGTTGGATTATCCAGCAGACACCGACAGTAAGTGGCTACCATTAATGCTGACAGCTCTCTCATGGTAGAGATTGGAGTATTTATAGCTACTTTTCCTGTGTCTTCAACTTATCCACAGTTTATGGACAACAGGAAGAACCCACTGCCATCCCTCTATTCCTCTTTCACCTTCTGCTACCATTTCCATTATGGGGAATTAAGACCAGGCTATTCACACCTGCTCTTCAGGGTGCAAGGACAAAGGCTGCACCAATATTGCTGTGCATTTTCCTTGATGCCAGACCTAACCCCAAATTCCACATTCCACATGAGTCAGCCTCCCCCGGGACCACCTTCCTTCGATAAATCTGGACACAGCCTAGTACTGTCTTGCCACCCTGTAATCTGTGCTATAATTTGTGAGAAAATGACTTCAGATCTTAGCAATTTTACATGGGTTTTTCCATTTAACTCTTAAGATGCTAGGACTCTTCACCATCCCCAGACGATCTACATCCTACAACCTGTCTCCAAAAAGTACTGTCTATACCACCTTCTGCCTGAGCAACTTGAGAGGCCTGGGCCTTTGCCCTCACCAGAAATGCCATCTCCTCTCTTGTCTATTATCCAAACACTGTGAATTCTTTTTCTTTTTTTTTCCCTAACCAACGCCCCTTTAAACACTGTGACTTCTTTAAGGATTATTGCAACCACAATGTTTTACAATAGTATTGATTTCTAAATGCCGGCATTATCGTTTAGCTATATCCCATGATTTTGCTCTCTATAAATCTCTTCTTTCCCTTGTAAAAATAATACTGAGTCCAAAACCTAACTGATTTCTTATTTTGGCTAGCATAAGGGGGAAAAGAAGTCTCTTAGCAGATTCTCGCACATAGAAACCTCACCAGCAAGCTTGGCTCAACCAAGCCAATGAGGACATTTTGATGCTGTGCAGTTCCTAGGTTGAGGATGAACCATCAGGGAGATCCTTCAAAGCCTACGAGCAGTAAAGTCCTGGGAAAATGTAAGAGACCCAGAATGAATTTGAGGGAGTTGTATAAAATAGCACTTCATTGAAGTTAAAGAATATGACCTTGAACAAATTTCTAAATGTCTTCACTTTCACTTTTTCCTTCTGCTAAATGAAGCTAGTTATATCTACCTGGCAGATTTTAATATGGATAAAATGAGAAAATGCACATCAAGCAAGAGCACAGTGCCTGGCCTAGGTCAAGCAACAAATGGTAGGTAATCAAAATCTGGAGGCGAAACCAGGGAGGAATTTAAAGAAAGGGTTTTTTTCTCTTTTAGGACTGCTGAATGTTATGGATCATGTCAGTTGGGGAACGTCACCTAATCTCTCTGAATCTCTGATTCTTATTCATCATTCATAGGGTCAAAAGAAAGAATGCATGTAAAAGTACTTTGTACATACTAGCTGTTTAGTAAATGTTAGCGAAGTATAAATTAATCTGTGTGTAATCAAACATAATTAAACATGAAAATTAATCAGCTGTTGATGTCAGTAAAACTAACTCCATAGAATTATCTAATGTGAGTTAATTCTCAAACAAGACAAAAACTGTACCATAAAATTTTGCTCAAATGATGGCATATTATCACCAGTCTCATGTAATTTTATATTTGAAGTGATATTAATAAACCTTGGATCTGGTGTCATTAAAAATTGCAATCTCTAAACAATAGATGGAGCCCAATAAATTAAATCTTTCTTTTAAGCACATTTTTCTCCCCCACAGACATGGACAGAAAGAACCAGACTAGAACCACAGAATTCCTTCTCCTGGGACTCTCTGGACAGCCAGAGAAGGAAGAGGTTCTCTTTGGTTTGTTCTTGTGGATGTATCTGGTCCTCATTACTGGGAACATTCTCATTATATTGGCCATCAGCTATGACAGTCATCTCCATACACCCATGTACTTCTTCTTGGCCAACCTCTCCTGTGTTGACATCTGCTTTTCATCAGTCACCATCCCCAAGATGCTGCTGAATCACATGTTGGGAAGCAAGTCTATCTCTTACGTGGGATGTATGACCCAGATCTACTTCTTCATCGCTTTCGGCAACATGGATGGCTTCCTCCTGAGTGTCATGGCCTATGACCGCTACGTAGCCATCTGTTGCCCACTCCACTACACCATGAGCATGAGGCCCAAGCTCTGTGTTCTTCTGGTGGCCATTCCATGGATCATGACACACCTGCATGCTCTTCTGCACACTATTCTCATGGTCCATCTCTCATTTTGTTCCAACAATGCTGTGCACCACTTCTTCTGTGACCCTGGGGCTATTCTAAAGCTGTCTTGTTCTGATACCTTTATCAATGATCTGATGATCTTCACTGTGAGTGGACTGATATTTCTGACACCATTTACATGTATCATTGTTTCATATGCTTACATCTTCTCCACTGTACTGAAGTTGCCATCTGTCCGTGGGATAAGGAAAGCCCTGTCCACATGTGGATCCCACCTCACTGTGGTCTCCCTCTTCTATGGGGCAGTGCTGGGGGTCTATATGCGCCCCTCATCCTCCTACTCAGTTCAGGACACAGTGGCCACTGTCGTCTTGACAGTGTTGACACCGCTGGTCAATCCCTTCATCTACAGCCTCCGGAATCATGACATGAAGGGAGCCATAAGGAAGGTAATTCTCAGATTCTAGAATTTAAAAATTTTAGAGCTGAGAAGACTCTTGGAAATCATATATTTGTTCATTTTACAAACAGAGAAGGGGGGCAGCAATAGGTGCAAAACTCACCCATGACTATTCCTCTAATTAATGACACATGATCATGATTATGATTTTAAATATGAGGCTGTACATAAGTTATAAAACTATTAATTTGTTATTTATAAATAGGCCTGGTTCTAAGACATTCATTTTACAGACAAGAAAAACTGAGGGTCAGACACATTTGAATCTATTGTTTCAGATGGGTCCAGCAACCCTCTAAGACAGTGGCCACCACAATGATCTAGGAATTTCAAAGGACTTCAGAGCAGACTCTCAGAGTCAATTGCTCTCTATAGCCTCACACAGGAGATGCTACAATTATCCCATTTCCAGACTCACAGAAAGGCTACCTTGCCCAGAGCTGTACTAGTAACTGTTGATTACTGACTGGTCCCGCCTACTATTACGATCTTTGATCATTGCTGAGTCAGGTATTTCTTCCTGTGTCTTAGGCTTGGTTCCCTCCCCAACTTCTCACAATCAAAACCCTACCCTTAGGCTGCCCCACCCCATACCCCAATCTAACTTTTTGGTGTTTTGTTACTCAGCACAGTTATCAATCAGGGACAGGTGTGAGGAGGCTTCAGATAGCAGCTATACTTTCTCAAGGAACCCTGGGGTATCCTTCAAGTTTGAGTGGGCTCCAGGAAGCAGAGATTCCCTCAGAGCTGAAGTGTCTAGACTTACTATAGCACCTTAGGGACACAGGAACATGAACTAATTATAGGACTTGATTGAACCCAGGACTTCTGATTCCAAGTCTAGAGTTTGCTGCACTCTACAGGGCCAAGTGTCCAGTAGTCCAAGCTTCTCCTATTCTATACCTGGGCACTAAAAGCCCACCTGGCCAGTTCCCACCTTCTCTTTCCTGACATCCAGAGAGTCCTCACCTAAGTCTCCAGGGATCAGTCTCCAATAGCCCTCCCCTAGCTGGCCCTCTTCCCTCTCCTCCTCTCCTTTCTCAATTTCCTCTGCTCTCGGGGCTAATCAGTACTCATTGTCCTCACTGCTGGCCCTTCCTGACTGGTCCTAACACTGACCGCTGACACTGACCTTCAACCCGCAAAAGGCTCCTGGTGAACCTCACTTCCTCCTGCCGCTCCCTGCACATCTCCATCCTGCACACAGGGTCAGTTTCATCCTCCTGAAACACTGATTATAACCTGTCAGCCCATCCGTAGAGAGAATATTGAAGACATCAAGATAAGTCCAAACATTCTTCCTTTCAAATACAATGCCTGACATGATTTGGCCTCAAGCTGTATTTACGGCTTTATTTCTTATCAACTCACTTATTTATATCTTTCATGCCTTGTCTCTCCTGATTCTCTTCCTCCTTCCTTCGTCACTCTCTGTTGAAAGACTCCCCTGATTTTTTGAAACCCTAATAATTGTCCATTTCCCTTAACTCTTTTACCAGTCACATCCCACAGACACGCACTGAGCACACAGCACAGGGCTTCTCAGACTGGAGTGTGTGAACTCCCAGGACAGTGTATCCGGGTGCCATGGCAACCTGACTACACGTGATAAACTTGGTGTACCCTTCCGAACTGCCAGTTTTATTTTAGAGGTGGTTCAGTACAAAGGTTTGAGATGTAATAACATGGACTAAAAGTTGGCGTTTGAAGTTGTATGACTCATTTTGGTCTCGGCATATTCCCCCTTGTATGACCCATATCTGCATATGTATCTCATCCCGTTATTACATCACATACTCGTTCTGAGAAAATACTACAGCGTACGTTGGATGTATCTTCTCTAATGCTCCGCAGAGTTTTTGTCCTCCTAAATAATCATGTATTGGAAAAGCACTGATGACATGGCAGCAAAGTCTAAGGGGAAGTTGGGAAGTGAGCATTCCTAGACAGCAAAAGTCAGGGCAGTAAAATTTAAAATCAAAGGAACTGGAGTAGTGGAAAGATTTCACCGAGTTCTAGGACCCACAGAGGCTGCAGGGCTCAGGCATGGCTTGGAGCCCAGGTTTTATTGCCCAGTCTCTCTCTCCCTCTGCTCTCACTCAAAAGGTGGGTGTGGGGAGGACAGTGGGGCTAGAAGGAAGTCCATGAACTGACTGCAGGTGCAGGATCAAAGGCAAACTCACCCTCCACCCATGCAGTCCTCCAACCCAGTTCACCTCAGGAAGGAGTCATCATGTGCCACACAGAAAAGCCTGCCTGAAAGGGGAAAAGGAACCCCTAAAAGTTCAGCAGCATGGTGTGTACAGAAAGAGGAAAGGCGTCTGTCTTTGTTGGTCTGGCCGTGGTGTGAGAGGTTATTCACTGGTTAATTCCACACGAGCCTCCGGTTGTTAGAGCCGGTTCCTCTCGGCCCCAGGAACAGAGAGGCGGAGTCACCAAGGCTGCAAATGGCAAAGGAGTTTATTGGCTAGCTTGAGCTAGGGTCCAAGTCCCAGAGCACCAACACAGTGGCCTCTTCTAAGGGCTGGGACCCCGCCTTGGGGTAGAGGTTAAGCTTTTATACCTTTTTTTGTTTTACACACGACACACAGGTTTCACACGACACGCTGGGCACCCCCTCCCCCCTCCCCTCCTTAGTTCATTGGTTCCTTTAAAAGTGGCCGATCGTGTTGGCTCCTGATTGGTTCCTTTAAAAGTGGCTCCAAGCCTCGGGATTTTTGCGCTGGCGCCAATTGTGGTCAGCGTCATTTTGGGGAAAGGGCGGCGTCGTTTCGGGAAAACCGAAATTTAGGCCTACTCCAGGAAGTTCAGCCTGTCATGGAGTCACTCCTGCTCTTACCCCTGTTTCTGATTAACTACATTTAACAAACAGCTAAAAGCAAGCACGGTCACAGAAGCAAATAGCATCAGAATCAGAGAGAGCACATTTTTCTCTAATCTCTAATCTTAAACAATTTGTCTCACACAAAGCAAAGTATATTCTCCTACTGTCAATTCCTGTTTTTCACGGTCTTTAAACCTCCTGCTGCTGGGGACCACCTTCTACTGCATCTTCACTGGCTGCCTGCATCACTTCTCGTGGTCAACTACAGAGGGGATAAAGAAAGGAGAGCACTCCAAGGGCTCAGGTAGCCTCATCCCTGGTGTGGTTCACAGGCAATGTGAGGCACTCACAGGACACGAACTGTTCACAGTTGGAGCTCGGTCTCATGCAGGGCCTCTGGCATCCTCTTCCCCGAGAAGCAGACACAGTGCCAGGCTGGCAGAGTCCTCTCGGGGGCAGCTGGGACATCAGGATTGTGTCTGGTGATTTACTGTCCAGGGTCTGAGTTAGCAGACAGCAGGCCTGTGCCAAGAGCCTAATCTCCTCCAGGGAGGACTCCTGGAGGCACCACTCCCTCTTTCCTGTAGGCAGTTTCCATCTTGTGCTAATTAACCATCAGAGACCAGCTCTTTGTAAGCCAATTAAAACAATTTGAGGAGAAAAGTTAGACTTCAGCTCCGTGAATGTTGAAATAGAGGCTCATGCCTCTTCCCAGCACAGTTCCCCAGATGCTGCTCTCCCCGGAGAGGTTCATAGCATTGAAGGTATTTTCAAGTGTCATAGAACCACCTCCCTTCAACTTGTCCTTCAAGCATCTACTCCAAGGCTAGGCCTACCAGGGAGTTTTCCAGGAGAGCCTGGTAATGTCTCTGATGAGCTGAAGAAGCCCTTCCTGCCATTGTCTGGTTATTGCAAACTTCTAGAAATTGTTGTTGTCCTGCCTGTATTATTTTGTTTCTTTGTGTATCAGGGAGGAAGCTAAGCTTTCCAGTACTTTGTCTCTAACAATGTCTATGCAGTCTTCAGCAGATGACTTTGTTCTGGTAATTAACCTTCTGCCACATAAATACTGAAAACTGGTTTTGTCTAACTGGTGAACTCTGATTCCTATTGTATCTGGCTGTCTACACTCTTCCTGCATGAGCCTCAGGGCCTCACTGAGCATATTTTCAAAAGGACTGTCTTTTATTTGCTCTGAATTTCATGCTGGCTGTAACTACTTGAAGATGAGGCTGATTCCAGGCCTGGCGTAGGGAAAACAGAAGATGAGCCTGGAGCATCTTGTAGTGCGAGAAAGTAAGGGCGTGCTAAAAAAAAAAAAAACAAAAAACAAAAAGAAAAGAGCACAGCAGCCAATGTGAAAGAGCTCCCAAGGCCAAAGCTAGAACAATTCAAGCAACAAATAGAGCGAGTGATTGAATAAACAAATACATGGGGGGAAGGAGCAAATTTTCCCTACAGACGAGTTAGAAATGATATATGCACTTTCCCAGCCCCAGCCCTGCACACCGGAAGGTGTGGTTCAATCCTCCCCGCTTTGGGGGTGGGCTAGACTTAGCGACTTGCTTCCAAAGAACACAGAAAGGGGAAAATAATCCTTAGAGTGGAGAAACCTGGTGAGCATCACGCTAAACAAGTGATGAAGGTTAACATGACCAGTGACATGTCGTGTTGACATCACATATCCCTGACATGACGTGATGAGGACGCCTCACCTCTGTGGGATTCTTCCCTGAAACCATGATGACGGCTGAAGGAGTGAAAGATGTGCCGTCCCAAAATACGCCAAATTGGTACACTGGTTATTTTTAATTAAAAACATTGGAGAAACTGGAGAATTGTCTCAGTGAGGGCAAGCTGACCTGTCTCTTCCTGCACGCAGTGAGCCATAAAGATTCCTCTGGGAGGGTGGCTCCCCATGCCAGGGAAGGAGACAGCCTTGTCACCAGAGACTGGGAGGTGGGTTGCAATGGACCTGAATAAATAAACTTCCCGAAGTAAATCTTACCTTCCACCAGCTATACCCCACCCCCATACACCTCCTAGTGACTCCCTAGAATTTATGGCCCTAGCCAGATCCCTTGCCGTTCCTTCACAAATTTATCATTCTTTGTCTGAAAAGTATAAAAGCATCTTGCTTTGGCCACTTCTTCAAACTTCACTCTCTTGTAAAGATCCCCATG